CGCTACTCTTGACATTATGATTGTAAATCCTCTAATGTAGAAGTGAAGCTCCAATTCCGGGGCGTAAACAAATAGATTTTTTTTTAACTGGTTTTCGTTTTTAATTCAGAATTCTGGATTTTTTTTAACGTTAATTATTTGTTTTTATTTTTTTTTTTATTTTTTATTTTTTTTTTTTTTTTTGTGGTGAGTCCATTAAAACTGATTCACTGGTTTAGTGTCATTAGTGGCATTGCTAATGAGCCTTTCGTATTTATATTTTCATTGTTCTAGTAAGGATAAGAACACTAAAAATAGCAGTAATTTACCGTGTGTGTGTGTCAGTATTTGTGTCTGTGTGTGTGTGTGTTTAGGTGTACATGTGTGCGTGCGTGTGTCTGTGAAAATGTATGGAAGTGTATGAGTTGGTATTTATAGTTTTCTGTATGTATGTGGGTGTGTGTGTTTGTGCGTGTGTGCGTGCATGTGCGTGTGTGTGCGTGCATGTGCGTGTGTGTGTGTGCAGGTGTAAATATGTATCTGTGCGTGTGTAAGTGTATGTGGAGGTGCACATAGTTTTCTGTATGTATGCGTGCGCGTGTGTGTATAAGTACCTGCGTGTGTGAGTGCATGTGTATGTATGTGTGTATGTGGTAACAGCGGAGCACGGAAACTACAATGAAACTGGCAGAGTGAGTGCCCAATATAGCGTCTGAAGTGCTGCTTTATCGACTCTGGTGACCAAGGGTGCCAGAGGGACGGTAATCCACGTTCGAAGTGCTTTAAAGAAATTACAAACATTTTTGTTTATGTATCTTTTTCTCTTCGTCTCCCTTTTTTTCTCTTTCTGTTTTTTTTTTTCTTTTTTTCTCTCTTTCCCACTTTCTGTGTGTCTCAGTGCCTCTCTTCCTTTAATGGTTGCCTGTTTGTCTGTCTGTCTTTCTCTCTCTCTCTCTCTCTCTCTCTCTCTCTCTCTCTCTCTCTCTCTCTCCTCTCTCTCTCTCTCTCTCTCTCTCTCTCTCTCTCTCTCTCTCTTCTCTCTCTCTCTCTCTCTCTCTCTCTCTCTCTCTCTCTATCTCTCTCTCTCTCTCTTTCTCACTATCTCCATTCAGCCTGTGTGTGTGTCTTTCTCTATCTGTTAATCTTTGTCTATCTATCTATCTATCTATATCTCGCTCTATCTATCCATCCATTTATCTTTACCTCAGTACCTCTCTGCCATTCTGTCCTTTCTCTCTCTCTCTCTCTCTCTCTCTCTCTCTCTCTCTCTCTCTCTCTCTCTCTCTCTCTCTCTCTCTCTCTCTCTCTCTCTCTCTCTCTCTCTCTCTCTCTCTCTCTCTTCCTAGGTTACAGCGTCATCCAGATATAAACTAATCCAATTTAGGATTCCTTTCCTAAAAAAAATAGTTCCACGTGTCACATCAAAAGTAAAAAATAGATCAACAATTAAAGTAAGCATTAGAATCAATGATCAGCTGTTGGACGCCACTTCACGAAGGATACTCCAGGGTGATGTAAACAAAGGCAACACGTTCTCTCTCTAGTCACAAAATCGTTACAATTAGAGGTAGAATCAGGTGAGAATATCTATTTTTTTCTTTTAATTTTTTTTTATTTGTCGTTCTTTTCTTTTCTTTTTTTTTTTGATAACGAAATTATTTTCAAATTTGTGACTTCTTTCAGTGAGGTTTCCACGTGTGCATTTTTTTTTTTTTTTTTTTTTTTTTTTTTTTTTTTTTTTTTTTTTGCGTTTCTGGCCACCGGTATGCCTCGACATCTAGACATGTTTGGCCAGTTGAAGTGGCCATTAAATTCTATAGTGTTACAGAAAACCCAAAGCTATTCATTTTCCTTAAGGGAGAATGTTGATATATTTGTTTCCATTCATAGAGCTTCTTTAACGTTAGAAATAGGCTGTAAATTCAATAGATTTATTATATTCATTCAGTATGATTTATACTTAGCTTTTTACACACCCACGTGTGTGTGTGTGTATACGTGGGAGTGTGTATGTGTGTATGTGCATATCTGTGTGTGNCAACAAACAGAAGCACAAGCAACAAACAGAAGCACAAGCAACAAGAAGCACAAGCAACAAACAGAAGCACAAGCAAACAGAAGCAAGCAACAACAGAAGCACAAGCAACAAACAGAAGCACAAGCAACAAACAGAAGCACAAGCATCACAAGCAAGCAACAAACAAGAACACAAAGCAACAAACAGAAGCACAAGCAACAAACAAAGCACAAGCAACAAACAGAAGCACAAGCAACAAACAGAAGCACAAGCAACAAACAGAAGCACAAGCAACAAAAGAAGCAAAGCAAACAGAAGCAGCAAGAACAAACAGAAGCACAAGCAACAAACAGAAGCACAAAGCACAAACAAGAAGCACAAGCAACAAACAGAAGCACAAGCAACAAACAAGAAGCACAAGCAACAAACAGAAGCAAGCACAAAACAGAAGCACAACAAACAGAAGCACAAGCAACAAACAAGCACAAGAACAAACAGAAGCACAAGCAACAAACAGAAGCACAAGCAAACAACAGAAGCACAAGCACAAACAGAAGCACAAGCAACAAACAGAAGCACAAGCAACAAACAGAAGCACAAGCAAAAGAACAAACAGAAGCACAAGCAACAAACAGAAGCAACAAAGCAACAAACAGAAGCAAAAGCAACAAACAGAAGCACAAGCAACAAACAGAAGCACAAGCAACAAACAGAAGCACAAGCACAAAACAGAAGCACAAGCAACAAGCAGAAGCACAAGCAAACAAAACAGAAGCACAAGCACAAACAGAAGCAACAAGCAACAAAACAGAAGCACAAGCACAAAACAGAAGCACAAGCAACAAACAGAAGCACAAGCAACAAACAGAAGCACAAGCAACAAACAGAAGCACAAGCAACAAACAGAAGCACAAGCATCAAACAGAAGCACAAGCAACAAGCACAAGCAACAAACAAGCACAACAAAAACAGAAGCACAAGCAACAAACACAAGCACAAGCAACAACAGCACAAAGCAACAAACAGAAGCACAAGCACAAACAGAAGCAAGACAGAACACAAGAAACAAGCAAAACAGAAGCACAAGCAACAAACAGAAGCACAAGCACAAACAGAAGCACAAGCAACAAACAGAAGCACAAGCAACAAACAGAAGCACAAGCATCAAACAGAAGCACAAGCAACAACAGAAGCACAAGCAACAAACAGAAGCACAAGCAACAAACAGAAGCACAAGCAACAAAACAGAAGCACAAGCACAAACAGAAGCACAAGCAACAAACAGAAGCACAAAGCAACAAAACAGAAGCACAAGCACAAACAGAAGCACAAGCAACAAACAGAAGCACAAGCAACAAACAGAAGAAAGCACAAGCAACAAACAGAAGCACAAGCAACAAACAGAAGCACAAGCAGAAGCACAAGCAACAAACAGAAGCACAAGCACAAACAGAAGCACAAGCAACAAACAAAGCACAAGCAACAAACAAAGCACAAGCAACAACAAAGCACAAGCAAACAAACAGAAGCACAAGCACAAGAAGACAGAAGCACAAGCAACAGAAGCACAAGCACAGAAGCACAAGCAACAAACAGAAGCACAAGCAACAAACAGAAGCAGAAGCAACAAACAGAAGCACAAGCAACAAACAGAGCACAAGCAACAGAAGCACAAGCAACAAACAGAAGGAAGCAACAGAAGAGCAAACAGAAGCACAAGCAACAAACAGAAGCACAAGCAACAAAACAGAAGCACAAGCAACAACAGAAGCACAAGCAACAAACAGAAGCACAAGCAACAAACAGAAGCACAAGCAACAAACAGAAGCACAAAGCAAACAAACAGAAGCACAAGCAACAAACAGAAGCACAAGCAACAAAAGAACACAAGCAACAAACAGAAGCACAAGCAACAAACAGAAGCACAAGCACAAACAGAAGCACAAGCAACAAACAGAAGCACAAGCACAAACAGAAGCACAAGCAACAAACAGAAGCACAAGCAACAAACAGAAGCACAAGCAACAAACAGAAGCACAAGCAACAAAACAGAAGCACAAGCAACAAACAGAAGCACAAGCAACAAACAGAAGCACAAGCATCAAACAGAAGCACAAGCAACAAACAGAAGCACAAAGCAACAAACAGAAGCACAAGCAACAATCAGAAGCACAAGCAACAAACAGAAGCACAAGCATCAAACAGAAGCACAAGCAACAAACA